CCCCAAAACCCCAAAACCCCAAAACCCCATGAAATGAAATTGCAATTGAAGGATTAAAAATGAATAAATGCTAATTCTTTCTCTAATCCAGATACTCTTTGTTTGCAGCCAGGATAGACTTCCTTCATTCCCTCACAACTTCAAGACAGGTTTTCATAATGGATAGGGTTGATTCTCCCATTAGAGTCACAATGAAACAAATTGCTTAAGGTTTATCAAAGTTCATACTTTTCTTTATTTTTGTCTTCTGTATTCAAAACATCCTTTTGACAGGTGCCATCTCAAGGAAATAGGCAGGAATCTCTCTGTCAATTCATTCTTCTAGATGGAGCTTTGCAAATAACTGGATGTGTGGGTCCTTGCATTATCTGCAATGAAGGATCAATCCTTTGGGGAAGATTTTCTGCTCAACCTTAGTAAGATCTGGAGATCTTGGGATGACACAGAAATTTTCTAATTTAGTAGATTTTTCCTTAATGTTCCCTACTTAAGAGCCATCATTGGTGATGCCTAGAGCCAAGGAAGACTTAACCAGTACAGTTCCACTAATTATAGGGAGCGAAACTCCAACTAAGTGCCGATAATAGTGAAACTTGGAAGACTTGTCAATGCTCGTTTAGCCTATGTTAACAACTATCTCTCCAACATTTATCAGTCTAGTAGAAAAGAGACTCTTTCTAATCCTCATGCTATTGTATGTGTACTTGGGTGACCTCGAATCTCTCTTTCATACGGGTGCCTCATTTATTTCTTGATGAACTTCTTGACTCTAGAAGCACCAAAATCTCTGTCAAGCTTCTCTTTGAATAGATTCAGCAACCTCTTGTCTATTGTGGAAGGCTTTGGAGACTCAATGAACTTTCTCATTTCATCTTCCATAAGTTTCCGGAGGCATGAATCCTCCAGAGCTCCTTAAAGAGGACTGCTTTTGAATTCGTTTCTGTCAGGCACCAATCGTTTGAGTCGGAAAATAGTTGAGACTGACAACTTGTAGAGAGACCTAATATCTTGAATAGAGTTAGGATAAACCGCAAAAGTCTTGATTAAATGCCCTAGGTTCTTCTGATTAAACACTGATGCTTCTTTCTAAATCAGAGCTCATGATGTAGCTCAGAGTTAGTCCAAGGAAATGCTTCAGATGATTCATCGCTCCATAAGTTTTTACTCATTTTTGTTACTTCCTTCTATCCTTCATACCAACAGATCTTTAATTTATCAGTGCCGGATCGATCAGATTCGATAACTTCTGTTTGAAGATGTTTATATAAAATATCAATATTCTGCTTCAAAGAATTAATAGATGTGCTGACTCCATAGTTCTCCATACTTTTTACCTTTTTTCCTAGTCCTTAGTGACTTCTTTACTTGTATTGATCTCTTCTTCAAAGGTTCCTTAGAAAGCCGGTTTTATGAACTGAATCAAGTCTTTGGAAGTCCAGTAATAATGCTTTTCGCCTTTGCATTTGAGTTCCTGAATGAGTCCCATTCTGCTCGCAAGGTGAGTCTCACTCTCTTTGCTTCCATTGCAGGCTTAAATTATGACTCAGGATAAATGCAAGCGTAGTGTTTATATGTCCATGAATCTGATTTTGTTAAGATAGCTATCCTCTTTAAGCAAATGCTGCTCTGGAAAGAACATCTGCAGAATCAGATCGACAGGAATTAATGTGAATTTCTACTTACTGATAAGTAATGTAGAAGAAACGAAGTTTTAGATTCCTTGTAGTCATTTAAAATAAGATATTGTGCATAGAAGGGTAGAAAGAAGTAGCTAATTTCTTGGACTTGCATCGGAAGTTATATCAAAGTCTGAGTTTTATAGGCTTATGGCTTCAGAGGGAGTCCTGTATCTTCCTCCATACAAATATTGTTCGAAAGATTTCATCGCACACATTCGGTACAAAACAAAGAGAGTATCAATTGTTCCTCATTCTCTGCTTAAATGTGGAACATAATCTCTTGAGAACATTTGACTAAAATTATTATTTTTCCTTCTTTCTGGAACTCTATCCCTTGATCTGGAAGCGTACGAGAATGAATTGAGAGCCCCGTTTAAGTTTGGAGTACTATTACAAACTTTCAAGGTTCTTTGTTGGCCAATATGTTCACCAATTCTTGCTTTAAATTATATGCCAAACTTGTAATCCTCGTCTCAAGGTGAGGCTTAGCTTCATTGGCCTCCCTACTTTATAGGATTGAAAGACCGCTTACATTTCAGCACTATCTTTTGTCACATTTAGAGTTCCTTTCAGAGTCTTTATTATTGATGCTATATTTAGTAACTCAGGGATTTTCCTTGAACTTCCAAGGTCTTCTGGCCTTTATTCCCCATTTTCATATCTGGATGCGGGTACTAATGTCTGTATGAAACTGCTTCTGCCTTTACTTAGCAAGGAGGTGTCATTCTGTGCCTTAGTATAGTTCCGATTTGGAGATCTCTAACCCATTTCAGTACCTATCATGGGGATTTCAAAACAAAGAAGGCGTTGTAGTCTTCTATAATCAAGCTAATGCTTTTCTTAGCAATAATTCTATCCCTCAGATGTTCTTCCGCTTGAAGTCCTTTCTCGATTTCTACGACTCTCTCCATTGTGCAAAATTATTAATATCAATCTGAGGATTTTCTGAAGGGGTTTTGGGGTTTTGGGGTTTTGGGGTTTTGGGG